TCCCTGGCAGTGCTGGGAAAGCCACAGTATCTTGCCACAGTGCAACAGGGCTATGGGAAGAAATCCCCAGTCAGGCTGATTTCGGAGCCTGCTTTCTTGGCAGCTTGATGGTTGGGCTTAGGTTATCAAGAGTCACGCCAGTTTGCACTGAATGTCTTCCAGTCTCTGGCTGGTCTACTCGAAGGAGCAAGTTAGTGAAGCGTTAGAATGCAGATACGGAAGTGTGTGTACATGTAAGTATGCGAGTGTGTGCGCTACTGCCTGCCCACGTCTTCTCTTCAGAGCTCCTGTGTTTCCATCCTAGCCGTTGGAAGTCATCCAGACACAGATTATACACTTCCACCTCACGATCTCCTCTCTGTCTTCTGTGGCTTACATCAGCTGTTCCAAGATGGCAACAGAAAAGAACCACAACTCCACCTGTGCTAAGACTACAGAGTACTGACAACAGGAACTGTGGTAGGGACAGAGGACACCACGATTATTCTGTAATTACCGAGACTGGGTTAAAATCAGCGGCCTGAACGAAGTTATCTTTCCCTTACCTCTTCCAGTCCCCGTATTCATTGCTTACTTTGCACAACGGCTTTTAAATTTTGGTCACACTACACTCTATGCTGTCTCTGACTGTGCGACTCTAAAGATAGGCCAGAAACAATCAGGGAGGTTGGGTTAGGGAGGTGGTACAGCGAGGTGGGTGAGAGCACTTGTGCAGATTAGGGGACCTCAGCTCAAATCCCTAGCTCTCATGTAAAAAAAAAAAAAAAAGAAGTTGGTTTGATTGTATTCCTTTAACCCCCAACACTGGAGAGTGGAGATGCTAGGAGTCAGTCAGCCTAGCATACAGAGCAAGCTTCTAGTTCAAGGAGAGACCATGTATCAAGAAAATAAGAAGGAGGGTGGAAAGGAAGGCATCTGACGTCCTCTGGCTTCTGCATATGCAAATAGGTGTGCCAACATACTCGCACGCACCACGCACGAACCACACCCCCACACACCACACCACAGTCCCCACAGGGAGCAGGGTGGGGAGCAAACAACAGGATGATACAGCAAATAATAGGGATCAGGTTTTCCATGCTTTTCTGTGTAAGCTGACATCAGAGCTGCCACTGTCTCTGAGAGTGTATGTGAGACACTTGTATGGATGGCGTGTGCAGAGGCCAAAGGATGACATCGTGTCCTGCTCCATGGAGTGGATTCCCTTCATATTGATACTCCGACTGAACGCCCTGTCCTCCAAACACGTGCGGCCTCCCTTTACCCGTGTGGTACACAACAGTGCCCTGAGCTGAAGACTTAAGGGAGGCTCTCCTGAGATCAAGTGGCCACAGGGCAAGAGAGAGACCTGTACTACCCTTACAATGGCTAACACAAAGCCTCCTTCGGACAGACCATCCGAACGCTATCACAGACATTAGCTCTGGCAGCAACAGAGAGCAACAGCTAAACTCGATTAGGGCAGCCTCCTCTAGCTTCACTCTGACCTTGACTCATGAACTGGTACAGCTGAGGACTTAAGACTAAAATCAAAAGATGTTTCCAGGCATTTTTTTTTTTTTAAAGATGAGTCTGAACTGATCCCACAGGTTCCGGGCATCTACAAGAGAACCTGATGTTTCACTTTCAAACCGATGGTGTTTCATTTTCAGATAAGAGTGTCAAGGAAGGCTCCTCCCCGGCAGATGGAAAAGACCCTGAGATTCACCTGCCCACGGACTGCATGATGTCAAGCAGCAGCGGGGCCGCCAAGTCCGGGCTCAGGTGAATGAATGTGGAGAGGACGACGATGGCTAGCCCAAGGGTCTCTTCATCGTATTCTTCAAGAATGGCCCCACAGTCGTGGCACCTGCAAAGGAAACAAGGGGAGGACATGTAAGAAAGCCAGCCGTGGTTTCGGGCACAGCCGCTTGTCAGAAGTCTCTCGGAAGGTTCAAAATGGTGGTAACCAGGCCCACTCTAATTTAAGTGCCACTGTCACCAGAAGACATGGAAAGAGCTTGGGAGGCGGAGGTCTTAGATGTTCCTTTACCATTCAGTGCATAAGCATCTGGCCCCTTTGGAAAGAGCTTCAGGTAGACTAACAGCATCCAGGACTTTAAGACGAGGAAATTATGTCTAAGAGCAGTCGGTAACTAGATCTTTGGATCAGTTTTTATGGTTTCAGTTAAACACAAATAAGCATGCACATGAGCCATCTACTAGTTTTTCTTCATTGCACAGCTTGGCTGCATGTTTGGTGACTGACGGCCACCGAGGTGCTCTTGCCGTGATGGTTTTGAGTTCCTGGAGGAAACATCTCAGCACTATAAGGTTTGCTGCACACCAGAAGCTCTTCCAGATCCTGGACAATGAGGACCAAGAACTTTGGGAAGCCACTGTTCAGCATGTGGCCCATTTTTCAGCCAATGCTGGGCATCAGGATCTGGCCACTGAACCTCCTCACACCCTGTTGCTGACAGCTCTGCGTTTCCCCCAGATGCACTTGACCTGGACACGTAGTCCTGGCTGGTGCAGGGTGACCTTCAGGGTCTCCTGTCGGATGACCTCAGGCCCTCTCAGATGTCTGGGGGCAGCCATGATGCCACACTGGAGAGGGCAGACACCTCACAGGCAGCACCAAGGAAGGAGGAGGGTGGCCGGAACTTTGTAAATTTTAACTGATTTGCATTTGTCAGAATAAAAAGTGCATAGACATGGCTAAAAGCTGTCAAAAGATGTCCTGTCCATGGGTGAGAGACAGAGAGCTCAGGTGAACCTGTGCACTCCAGGAAGCCTGTGGGACCAGGCTGAGCCTCTTTTCAGCCGCTCCCTTGCACGAGCTTTGTGAATGTGTGACCCTGCTAAGCCAGTAAGTAGGAACCCTGCTTCTAAGAAGCCCACAGCTTACTGCTCTGCGGTGTCCTAACATGAGTTCCACTCACCCCAACACAACTAAAGTCAGCTTTAGAAAGTGAAACTGAGAACTAAAAATAACTCATGCTCACACAAACGCTTGTGCGCCTGTGCCCCCCCCACACACACCCCAGCAAACAGAAGCAACTAAGAAAAAGCAAAACTTGAAACGGGGCAGCATGACACAAAGTGGAAAAATGAGGCCAAAGCTCTGGGGACATTCCATGGCAGTTGTACAAACCAGGCACCTTCCTTCGAGTCTCAAGTACGGCCATCATGCTGGCTAGTTTTTATACCAGCTTGATACAGGCTAGGGTTATCTGGGAAGAAGGGGTCTTAATTGAGAAAATGCCTCTATAGGCTCAGCCTTTATGAGACATGTCTTCGGGGGAATTTGCTTGATGGGTGACAGGTGTGCAAAGGTCCAGCCCACTGTGGGCACTGCCACCCCAATCCGGGTGGTCCATGGGCAAGCTAAGACAGCAATGAGGAAACAAGCCAGTAAGCAGCATTCATTCGTCACTCCCTGCCTCTGTGTTCCTGCCTGGGATAGCAGCAGCCTGCTTCCTGCTTCTCTTTTAGAAGTGTGAGCTGCCTCTATCCAGGGGCCTAGCTAGTCCCAAGAGGCCCGTTCAGGTCTGAAAAATTGACAAGCCTTATTTTGTTTTATCACGCTCACTAAACAAAGATTTGTGTGCCAGGCAAGACAGAGAGGGCTCAGGGCACAGAACATAGAAGGACTTGTTCTCGTCCCAGGGAGCTCGTAATCTATGTTACGACAAGTACCTGTGCTATTTGGACAAAGCATAAAAATACAACATGGCAAGTGCTGGGCTAGAGCTGTACCAGGACACCCGGAAATGTGGAGAAGGGCGTGTCTCTCACAAGCAGGGGAAGTTTGCCTTCGGCTGGATCATGAATGTGTGCATAAGAGTACACGCATAAAGACGGGTTCGCTAGGAAGTTCAAGTACCGAGAGAGAACACATCAGGGATGCCCTGAAAGAAGAGATGGGGCGGAGGGAAGGGCAGTAGGGATGGTCACCCACTAGAATGCCTTAACTAATGCCTTAAATGTGGGCTCAAACCTAGAAGAACTCAGGGTTGTTGGCCACCGGCAGGCAGATAGGTTCTGAACCATTTTGAGATGCTGAAAAAGGACTGTGCTGCCAGGACGGAACAAGAACAGTTTCTCTTTCTCCCCTGTGTGACAATTTGACGTTTCTGGACCAGGAGACTTTACGGGTGTTAGATTATTTTTAGGGGTAAGTGAAATTATATGATTCTATCCAAATTAAAAGGGGGGAACCTGCCGAAGCAAAACAAAAACCCTTTTCATTCTGTATGTTATCTCTGAGTCCCGACCGTGTACAACACAGTTTCAGCCAGGTGAAGAATAAGGTGTGACTCAAAGGCAAAGTGCATTTCCTCACCTGGTGGTAAAACTCTAAGTTCGTAACCAAAGGGAGTGGGCGGGGGGGGGGGGCGATAACTGGGCGAGCTTACTTGTCCGTCATCACTGTTGGCTGCTCATCCGTGAATTCTTCAGGGGCGGGCACAAACATGCTGGCTATGCTGGGTGCTGACAGCAGACTGGATTTAGTGGCGCCTGGGGAAGCAGCAGAAAGACAACCATGAACACAGACAAGCTTCCGACGCCAGGACAGTCTCCACTCTGCATTCGTTAACTCTCAGAAGACCACAGGCGTGAGGCTGTGACCCGGACATCTCACCTGAGGCATGAGAGAACCCTGACAGTGAAATGAGGCCAAGGAGGAGCCGGACGCCTACCTTTCCAGTGCCTCATGGTTTTGAGAAATCAGAAATCTCACCTGGGCCAACAGGGTCTGGGAGAAGGATGGGCTCCCTAGCATTAAGTGAAATTGCCTAAACAATAGGACGTTTCTTACCCACAAATGCATATCAGCCTTAAACTGGGGCTGCTATGAAAAGACAATATGAAAAGTCAATAAGACCCCAGACTTCACACACACAAACAAAGGTGGGGGGGGGGAGGCGGTGAGCCCCCAGACTTCACACACATACAAAGGAGGGGCACTGAGGCTGGCAAACTTGTTCAGTGTTCTGCTTTGAAAAGCATTTTCACCTGCCCCTAGAGGCCGTGCGGTGAGGCTACTGTGCCATGTGCTTCTGTAGGTGGCTGAGAGGAGAGAGGTTAGGTCTAGGCTCAGTTCTCTGACCTAGGAACACCTGAACGATTAGCAGCCTACTATTCCCTGGAAAAAGCGAGCCTGAGGTGATCACCAGTCAGGCACCAGGGGCCTAGACAGGGAGCTAGCCTGAGGCGGCCTCCAGCCTGTCACCAGGCAGATCTGGGGGCAGACCATACTCAAGGTGACCCCTGCCTGGCATCATACTGCTCAAGTAGGGCGTAGCACTCCTGAGACAACTCCTGAGATGACCCCAGACACTCAGAGACCCCGGGTGCCATTAAGAGGAGCAAACAATTGGTGGAGAAATGAAAAAGAAACAGAAGGATGTGGGCACAATGAAGACAGGCAGAACTGGAGACTCCAGGGTAGTGAGGAACATACTGTTGTGAGTAGTTGTGATGTTACCTAAGACCATGGTGGGGTCCTGGCCTGTGCTGTCACTGGGAACCATGTTTGGGTCTGTGACCTTGCTGCAGCAGGGCTCTGTTACCACCAAAGCCCAGGCCAGGGACATGTTGATGTCTGAGGGCTGTGCAGAACTGGCCTTATCCCTCACCTGGGTGTCATGGGAGAGCTGGCCCTGGAGACAGGGGAATAGGAAAGTTGACCCCACCCCTAGCTACTATAGTAGTTGGGAGAGCACACACACAGAGTGCCAGAGTCTCGGATAAGCTGCCCTTGAGGATTCCAGCATGGGAGTATGCAGTGGCATGGACAAGGGAGAGATAGCTTCCGTCCTCCCTCCCCCATCACCATCTGCGGCATGAAGGAGACGTGGCCCTGGGGTCATGAGTGCAGAAGAACTGGTTCTGGCCCCTCAGCAGCTGCAGCGCTTGGGAGAACAGACCCTGAACCTTGCCTAGGCAGCACAGTAGAGCTGACCCTGGTGGCGATGGTGTGGATAACCTGGCTCCAAGGGCATAAGGGTGGGAGAGCTGCCCCCCACCACTTGTCCACCACGAGCTGACATGGACAAGGGAGAGATGCCGCTGCCCACCCCTTGCCACCTACAGCAGGCAGGAGAGCTGGCCCAGAAGTCATGAAAGCTGGAGAGCTAGCCCTGCCCCTCACCTGCTGCAGAACTTGGGAGAGCAGGCTCTGCTCTGCGCCTGACCTGAGCAGCACAGTAGAGCTGGCCCTGGATGTGGGGCTTACAGGTGAGCCAGCACCAAGAGCATGAGTGCAGGAGAGCTGGCCCTGCCCCTTGTCTGCTGGGCAGTGGTGCAGATGAGGGAGAGGTGCCCTCTTCCCCTCCCTCATTCCTCACTATCTATGGCAGGTGAGAGAGCTAACCCCAGAGTCATGAGAGTGGAAGAACTAACCATGTCTCTCACCAGCTGCAAGACTTGGGAGAGCAGGTCCTGCAACTCCTCTGGGCAGCAGGATAGAGCAGGTCCTGGTTGGGGGGAGGGGTGCTGGTGAGTTGGCCCTGGGGGGGTGGAACTGACCAGCCCAGATAACTCTCAAGCCCAGATCCAGGGCTTTGAATTGGCCCACCCCAACATCTACCATATCTATGATCTGCTGTGAAAGGGCTGGTCCTACAGAGCCAAAGCTGTAAGATCTCCATGACACAGTCCTGGTGAGAATCCAGTATTGATAGTATAGCAGAAGCCAGGAGCCTCGAACCAGACCAATGAGTCATTTGCAATGAACACTTGCAAGCAAAGATGTGTGAACAAAAGGGTAACTGTGGGACACAGTGTGACACACTACAGCTTCCACAACAGGATGTTTTTTCTCTGTTGTGGGGGTGGAGGGTGGGTCTAAGGGGAAGGGGAGATGAGTACATAATGTGAAAGTGAAAAAAAAAACATTAAAAAGTTGTAAAAGGAGGAAGTTACCATACACATGAAAGCAGAAAGACTTCATTTTCAACTGAAGTGTTTATAAATGCAACATTAGCTGTTTCGCTCTACTTCACCCAATCCACATGATGGTTTAAAACTTTGAATTTAGATCTTTCAAAGAAATCTGCGGCCAGAATCTTAGCAGCACACAATGATAGGTAGTAAAGGTGAGGTCGGGAAAGATGGCTCAGCAGGTAAGAGAACCTTCTCTTCCAGAGGACCCCAGTTTGATTCTTAGTATCTCACATCTGCCTGTGACCCCAGCTCAAAGTGACCTGACAGGCTCCTCTTCTAGCCTCTACAGGCACCTGCATGCATGTACACACACACACACACACACACACACACACACACACACACAAATATAAACCTTAGAACATAATACATGTGGGAATCCGTGAGTGTGGAGGGCAGTGTTGTGGTCTGGGGGCAGGGAATGATGTTGAAGTTCATGCTTCCACACCATAGACCACCCCTGGGGAAAGTTTACAAAGTGCATTTCTGAGAAGCAATGACTTTCAAACACTCTTTGAAGACGTCTCCACCTTCCAAAGATCCCAGTTGGGAATACAAGTCTTGCTACCACATTTATCAGCTGCTTCTGAGCTAGCGTTCCTTCCCAGGGGTCTCTAAGTGGGCTGTTAACAAAACTTCCACGAAGATGTAACACAGCGTCGCAGACACATAAGCAGACTCAGAGCAGAGACAGCAAAAGCCCAAAGCTTTTAAGTATAATTCCACACTACTCTTGACCATTGACAGGTGTACTAGCCTAATGCTAAGCAAGATGACTATGCCAGAGCAGAAGAAAAATCAGCAATCAGCCCAGAAGATACATGGAGATGTGTCCACAATCTTACTAGGAACAACTCCAAGCCAAGATTGCAACCAAAGGAGCAGGAAGGGCTGGGGCATTTTTGTAGCTTTCAAACAGGCTTTCCCTAATGGGGGGTGTTTTCATAGTAGCCCCATGAGGTGGTGTTTCTCTACGACAACAAAGAAAGTATGCTGCGGTATTTTTGGAAGTCATCTATCAAAGCAAGTAGGTTAGTTGACTGAGGATTGGTTCTTACAGCTGAACCAATGGGCTGCTAAATTCTGCTGTTGAAGTGGAAAGAGAAAGCAATATATGAGAAGATGAGGAATATTAAAATAAATAAAAGATGCCACAGACCTCAACAACCTTTCATTGTAAGCAACCCATGACTAAGTGGGCAGTGTTAAACTCTGCCTCCGTGTTTGTTCCCTGCTTCCTGGCAACAATTCTGAGCCCGCCACTTCTGGCTCCCTCCCAGAACATCCAGAGTGCCTCTGTACAGAACCGGAAGCAGAAACAGAGCGCTCCCAGAAGCTTGAATACAGAGGGGACCATCTCCAAAGCCAGACTTGAGGAATGCCCCTTTGGGGATCTCGGAGACAGGAGAGACTCTCAAGGGCTGCCGTCTCCAAGCACACAGCAGTGCGCAGGCGCACTGATGGACTCTCCTGCTCGCAGTAAGAGTCTGGAGACCCAGCACCCACCTTTCACCTTTAATTCACCCTGGTTTTGATAGGTGACTTAGATCACAACCACCAAAGATTTATTCAACACCCTGACTCGCAAAAGCTTTTCTCAGCCCCACAGACAAGGGTCTCACCTCATCGGCAGGAGAGCTACAAGTGTCCCGGAAGCTGGACACAGATATCTCCCCATGCCTTTGCAAGAGTGGTTTGGCCAGCAGCATAGGTCTGCTTGATTCAAGAGACTACTCAGAGATGTGGTCAGAAGTTTTTTGTTGTTGTTTTGTTTTGTTTGTAGGCAGTAATATAGGTTTACCAGCCTTCTGAATTTTAAGAACAAAGATAAACTAAGTATGTCACTAAATGTGTGGGATGACTTCGGAAAATAAAATTTCTGATGCTCCTGGTGCAGATGGATACTCATTTTGCCCCCCCAAAGCAGAATAAAGTGCGTATTTTTTTAATACATAATTCAAAATATCTGTGAAAGAAGTCACTCACACACGGTCCCAACATTCTAGAAAGAAATAAGGACAATCTAACCTCTGCTCAGGGAAAGGATATAGGGTGACATGGAAACCTGATGCATCTTGGGAGGGAGGCTGAAGCACCCAGGGATGTCTGGTCTAGACACAGTCAAGGGGGATGAGAAACGGGCAGCTATTTTCAAGTATGTGAGGTGTTAGATGAGAGACCCGAGGCGTCTCCCAAGCGTTTCCTAACATTCTAGGGCAGGGCTTTCGTGGGCCATGCTCCAGGATGAGCTGCTGCGTTTCCTGGCCCAGAAGGTGTTTTGCAGGTTGGAACTACGTGGAGCTGCAGAGGAAGAGGTTTTGGCACCTGCTCTGTGGCTCCTTGAGGGATACACAGTCCTTCAGTTCTACACGTCTGAGACTCTGGGACTCAACCAACCTCTTGTTCTCAGCGGCTGTCCCTCCAGGTCAGGGTTTAGGCACGTTGGCACATTACACTGGCGTTTCCCGGGCTGTATCTGTTCTGTGGACAAAGAGAGCATGTCAGTCTTCAGTGTGGTCAGTTTGATACAAGTCGCAGCACAACTGATACAGCAAACCATCACATGGGACCGTTTTTTGTTTGTTTGTTTTCAGTCATGATTACCTTATTAACATAAAGATTAAACTTGTGGGAGGGGTTATTCAAGGCTTTGTTACAAACCTGTCACTCAGTTAAATGAACTGCACCTGAAAATAGTAGAGAATTTTAAAACTAATTTTTTAGAATTCTATTCTCACTCTATTTCAAAAGGGTGCAAATCCTGACATGAAATGAAGGGCCAGTGCCACGGCCAGGGAAAAGTGTTTTATGCAAATCGATAAATATGTCAATGATACTCTGGGGTAACGGTATGACAGTTCATACAGAAAACTCAAGGACCAGATAGAGAAAATGATAGGGATTTGGCTGAGGGATGGAGAACAAGAATAAGGAGCAGAAATGGAACAACACTTAGGTAATGGTCACACAGGAGATGTGCACAATGGAGAAGAGACGGGACTTTCCCTGAATGAGCAGGCTCATGCTGAGAAGAATTTACCAGGACCCTGCTTAAGCTTTCTCAGCACGCCTGCCTGACCGTAGCTGCTCTTGGTGGAAACTAGAGCATCGCCGATCAATGCGTGTGGTTCAAAGCAACTTGTCACCTAACATCACACTGCACATTCACAGACTTTTCTGCTGGGCTCAGGTATGA